AAGAAGAAGAAGAAGAAGAAGAAGAAGAAGAAGAAGAAGAAGAAGAAGTAGTAGTAGTTATGCTCTGACATTAGCCTGGTACTTATCAAAGGTTTCATGGAAATCTACCCATCAGAACAGCTAGTCATTAGAATTTTCCTGCACACAGTGCTAAGCTATCGAATGTTGAAAATCCGCCACCGTCAAAACTCAAACCCTAGAAGCTCTTGGTTCTGACCAAGCAGAGTCGGTGCAGAGATGCATGTTGCAAGTAATGGCCGAAGTGTTAGTAGGATAGAAGGTGCAAATAATAATATTAACTAATCATTACCAATAATATAAGAAAGTGTGTACTCTTGTAGTTCCACTAGTTTTATAAAAGAATTCTGGATACAGGACAATGTATTTATTTCTTTTACTTTCAAACTTCTCAATAAAATCACTCATAAAAGCAAGGGAAATGAAATTGGAGGGATGTGTCAAAATGTCCTAAGATAGAAGTATTGAATCTAATTTTTCCACCCTCATTTAGACATTTTATGTCAAATTTTAAAATATAAACTTTAACTTCACCAACATTACAAATTTTACTTCAACATAAAAGAAAACAGAAAAGAGTTAAGCAGAAAACATGACTAACCTTAACATGCTCCATCTTGAGAACAAGAAAGCATGGAGTAGAATGAATAAACTTTCATGTCCTTTCAAATTCTTATGTAGGCATTGTTATTTCTAGTTCCTATTGCTTGTTACCAGCTCTGCAAGTAATTTTCATTTTGAATTAAAAATTACTATTGGACTTACCTAACCCATCTTCCACATACTGAAACGAGTCAAGGTTTATATCAGCTGATGCAAGCGCTGTGCTAAAAATATCCACAGATCCTGTACTAGAACTTGGTACAATGGTGACAGAAGAGCCTTGACTGACTAGATCTGATGCAGGTTCAGGGTTAATAGAATATACACCCGTCTGAGGGTCCAATTCTCCAGTAACTTCAATTTCACTGACCCTTGTATCTTGAACACCACCCGAGTTGGTTTTATTAATCTAAAAACAAGTTTAAAAATTAATTAACATGTATTTCTTAATATTCTTATTCTTCTTATTATTATTGTCATTGTTATTATTATTATTGTTGTTATGTTATTATTATGATGATCGGTGTCATTTTCAAAACACTTCTTTACATTCATTAATACGTAACTTAATAAACTTTAAAAAATCACAGTTTCTTTACCGATAAGCACTTAATAACAATATCAATAAAAAAAGTATCCACTGTTTTTTGTGACTAACATTTATTGGCAATTAGCACAACGTTTCATAACTTGATTGGTTACATCATCAGGTTACTGACAAAGGGAAACTATTATCTTGGGGTGTTACATCAGTGAATTTAAATGGTGAAACAGCTTGAGGACACTGTGATACTTCTCCTTATCCCCTAGCTTTAGAGGTGCTACTTAAAAGAATTCTATTAATTCAGTCAAAAAAGCAAAGAAATAAGGAAATTTTCATCTATCATTAGGGCTATCCAGAATGGAACCATTTGTCAGCAACAATTTCACATATCTCGCTTTGTTCGTAGCAAGGTTAATGAAAATGAATTTTTTTTATAGAACTATTTAAATTTAAGTTGGATTTTTTGATTTAAATTCCAATATTCACATTAGGTAATTTTTAGATATTTGTAAAAATTAAAGAGCTCAGTCGAGTTACCCCATATTGATCTAGTTCTGAGATTTTAAGAGTTTCAAGGGATAGCACTTTCATAAAATAACTCAAACCATGGATTAGTAAACTCTTCCTGGAATACTTTTTGGCACATATCAAGGCAACGTTCTGCAATTAATGAGAAAATTATTAATCTCATTAAACTGTTTGGGGTTTGTTACAATTGTTCTTGTTTCACCAACATTGGCTGCTTTTTGAATACCCTCTCTTGCAAGAAAAAGACTTAATTTGTCCGAATAAATTTGCATTTTAAGTATTATAATTATCCAGTTTATATAAATCACAAATCACAGGGTGTAGTGCTGTACCTTCGCCATGGACGTGGCGTCACCAGGACAGCCTAGTAAATACTGACTCTGGCCGCGGATGCCTACGCTCTTTTTTCATAATTTCATAATTCGAAAATGAAGCAATTGTACACTATTCTCTTTCACAAGGGTGAACATCAATGCACACTTTGGCTGGCACAAAATTTGAAGTTTTAAAAATATATTCTTCTCCACTATACCTCCCCTTTTTTCTGATATTTTCATTTTAGTTTTCTGAATATATTTTCCTTTTATTCGACCTTCTAATTTTTAATCATTCATTGTAAAGTTTACAATAAATTACATTTATAATTTAAATCGATTTTTTTTGAGAATCGTGATTTAAATCAATGATAGAAATCACTTGATTTCAATCACCGAATCCCTGATTTGTAGACTTAGAAATGTTAGATTTAATTTAGTAAAAATAAAGTAAATAACTTAAGAATCTTACAGAAAGTGAAAATTTAAGCAATTTAAAGTGTCAGTTTTGTGAATGGCGGCAATGGGTGTTGAAACAGAGGGCAGTAAAGTGAAATGCAATGGTATGCAGCGCTGTGAATTGCTGAGTAGTGATGTGCTGTCGTGTGTAATATTACATTACAACATTACAATACATACATTCTACCATCATTAACTTCTTTTAATCATATTGATATTCATTTATTTTTTAAATTACTTTGAGTTCGAATCAATTGCAGTTAAATACATCTTATCTTAAACTTCCATACTCAAGGCAGCATTAAATGTACAACTTGTCCAACCAAGGCCCTAAGTTGGTACTGTTCACATCATCTCTGCAATCTTTTATGTATTCATTTTAGTATAAACTGAAGTGATTACATAAGCAAAAGAATAAGTTAGCAATAAATTTAGGTAATACCTGTAAGGCATGGCTGGAATCTGATGAAAGTGAAGGAGTTGATGATATTGAATCTAAAGATGGTTCCCCCTGTTTCTCTCCAGCTACAACAGAGATTTACAAATTCACTTCACTCTCAGTAATTGACAAATTTTATATATCTCAGTAAAATAAATTATGTTCAATTAATTCTATTCTCATGCACCACTAAATAAAAAGCATATAATCAGCCACATATCCATTATTTCTCTTTTGTTCCAATAATTCAAATATTTAACCTTTTTCTATGACTCCAGAATCTGCATCAGTCTCACTAGTGATTCCAGAAGCCTGGAGAATATCTGCGAGTACCATATTTTTGCCAACATTCTCATGACTGAGGTCCAACACTACAACATTCCCAGCCTAAAGAAAACAGTAAGGAAATACATTAAGTAAAAACAGCAAGGAATTGGCCTGAGACAAAATTATCAGCAAGGTCTTATCTTGATTGTGAAATGTAAGCATGAGCCTGTAAAATCTCAAAAATGCAGTTTAATCAGATTTTAATTGATTAGTCATATTAATTATTAATTAACAGTAGTAGCAAAACAAGCTGATAAACACATTTCTCACAATTATGTACCAAATAATCAGCTATCACAGTCATATTATCTGTTACCACACTATCACACCACCAGTCAAGCTACCCAAATTAGTTATCACAGCTGTCATGTCACTCTTTCATTTAGATTCACAAACAATGGTCCAAACAATTATTAAATGAATTCCAGATCTGATTTACGCAGCTTGTGGGAAGAGCTTTCCACAGCTCAATTTACAATAAAATGTGATAGATGCCTTTCTCTTGCCAATTCATTTTGCAGTTTCAAACAGTGCCTCAGATTGGGGCTCATTGCAGAGCTCATGCAGGATCTTGTAGCTCTCCACCATATCTGCACTCTTTCTTTTCTCTCAGGATATTTGTGAGACGTCTCTGCATCTTATCTAAATTAATGTCTTTTTGATAGTGGGGAAATCACATTTGTGTGTTCCAACACAGGCCTGATATATGTAGTGTAGTTTTTCTTTCACAGAGATGGTCGCAAGGTGGAAAAGGCTTTTCTATTCCAGTATGTCAATGTATTGACCCGTTTAATAACTGAGTCAACTTGATTCTCTCTTATCAAATCATGGGATATAAACTCCAAGATCATTTTGTTGCAATGTTATGTCAAAAGAATGATTTCCAATGGGATAATTGTAATGTGGATTATTCTTTCTGAGATATAGGATTTTGCACTTCCTACAGATGACAGGAAGTAGCCATGTTCTCGAACACTCATTTACTATTTTAAGATCAGATTGTAATATCTGGTAGCTTTTTAATAGGTGACCAAATAACTTAAGTGTCATCAACATAACTGTTCCAGTCAGACGATAGCTCATCTCTGATGTCACTCATGTACAAGACAAATAATAGTGCTCTGAAGATCTTTGAGGAACTCCACTAGTAACCTATGTGTTGAGAGTTTACTGCTAATGTTCACCTGGAAAGTTCTGCCAGAAAGATATTCTTGTACACATTCAAACAAATTTTCCTTCTGTTCTGCAGGATTTGAGTTTATGAAGTAGTCAGTTGTGAGGAATTTTTGCATAATAGAATGCTTTTGCATAATTCAGGAAGACAACGGCGGTGGGTTGACCTTCATCCAGGGCTTTGGTCTACACATCACGTGAGCTAATCAGATTTGTTCTTGACATTCTTCCAGCAATGAAACAAGTGTCATTATTTTGGAAAGTAGTTGTTTCTTTGTATGTAGTCCCAAAGCTTCAGGACCATCCAGAAGCTTGAAAATGTATTTTCTGATTCAAGTATAACAACACACAATCTCTTTCAATAACCTGAATACTACAAGTGAGTCCATTGTCTTCAGACACCTGGGACAGTTTCGGCAATGCTGCCCACCATTGCAACCATGCTACACTCTGCTAACATCAATAACGGCCTCACTTAGTAAAAGTAAGAAGAGTATTCTAACTTATCTATTTCATAAATAGAAAATACCCAGTTTGTTTATAATTCTTTCCAATTGCCTACACACAGTATTATATGGTTCACTCAGGGCTTCTGGATTCTGTTGCATTTTCTCACTAATTTTAAAAAGTTCTTTTCAACTGCCATCATTATAATTATCCTGCCATTTCAGGTTTGTTGCCTCCTGCGTGACTGCATGCTTCAATTTCAAGCTTGATGTTACTTGAGATTCGGCACAACAAATTGAGTGTTCTACGTAGGCAACAGGATGAGCATGATTGACACAGCCTCACAGCCTGGCAACACCTGCCTTGCAGGTGAAAAGCGCCAGGTTTCTTTAGCTGCTCTTGCTAAGCCCCTACCAAAAGGGTCTCTTATGTTATTTCAGCAAGTAAAAGGGCCTTTGGAGAGCAGGACGGTCAGCGCACATACGAGGTTCATCCTGAGAGGAAGAAGCTTTTGCGGTGCTAACCTTTGTATGAATGTAATCGTCAGGAGTAAAGTCAAAGTATAAGGTGTTTACTTTGCAAGAGAAGACCGACATTATTGACAAAATGTGGCGTTCCACAAGCGAAAGTCTGTTGGTGATGCAAACTATGCAAGTTAGCTGCAAGTCATTTATTAAAAAACGAAGGAATAGTGAACCGTAATGGTTCACTATTCAGAGCCTCAGGAGTCGCTCTCAACAGGTGAATGTTGAAGAACAAAGCTGGACAGTTGGCTAAGTCATGGGATGAAGGCCAAGAGTTTGTGCGTACAGACGGATGGCTGCATAGATGGAAGAAGGAGCATAAATACATTTGGGAAGATACGCAGTGAAGCAAAAGCAGTGAATTATGCAACAATGTTGCACAGAGTGACCAGCAATCTGGATTTTTGGAATTCAAGGCTTTTTCCTGGTGTTCCAGATGTGAGAATAAATTTTTACCACTTTCTGTTTCGCACATTACAACACATTTTTTTCTGCTTATTCCTTGTCCTTACTATTTTACTCACACACGTTTCTTTCACAATGGAGTAGTAGGTGCAGATTTTTTTTTATTTTTTTAAATTTATTTATTTATTTATTTATTTATTTATTTATTTATTTATTTTTTTGTGGCAATGTTACTAATTAATATTTAGAATCCTGAAATGCTTAAGAAAGTATTTTTTCAGCTGGAAAGTGTCTTGGTGCTGATGCCAACACAGAGTTTGAAGTACCTACCATTTTTTAAATTTTATAATGTTTAAATGTCGAACTTTCCGGCTAGTCTTGCATTATATTAAAATAGGACTGTACATAATGATTTAATGAATCCACATTTATATGCTCTAGCTGTGATCTCTAATGAATAAGACATATGAATCTAATGATCTCTAATAAATATGAAGACAATGACCGTTTAAGTTTTTCCATTTGTTAACTGTAGACATTAAATTAACAAGTGACATCAATAACCAAGAAAACGTATTAATTGATTTTTTATATCCTCACAAAACACATGCGCAAGTAGGCCTACTCATGCTACGAATAGCCGTTCTAGTGACGGAATGTTAACAGAAAAGATTATTTTGATGCTTAACATTTTAATACTGGTTTTCAAAGAACACGAGTCTAGAACAAACTATTTCTCAACAAAAAATTATGACTTCTAAACGATGCTCAGTTTGTAACTAGTCGTGAATTCTAGGCATCTGGAATACTCTTCAAGTAGCAATAAACCTCTAATGCCCAAGAAGCAGTACTTGGTAGCTTTGAGCTTATGTACTACAGAATATTTTCACCTTGTAGTCGGGGATTGCAAGTAAGTTGCACCGACACATGAGGCAGTGTTTGAAGTCGTGTAATGTGCGAGTCAAGAGCAATGCAAGCCTTGACCATACATGTGGCTCTTCTCATACATTTTTCGATTTTCACTCGCCTACCACTCATGTACAGAGTTGAATCAATCACTTTACTGAATGCAATGCCGCATGTAAATTTGTGCTAAATATTGGGAATAAATCGGAAAATTAAGAAAAATCCCACTTTTCAAATCAAATTCCCGTTTTTTTTTCAGTTCTTCCAGGATTTTTCAAATTCCTGGTTTGTTCCCGGTTTTCAAGGTTTCCATGTTCACTGGCCATCCTGATTGCAATGGTTAAGTTTCAAGTGGACAAATATCTCTAATGGCCACTTGCCTGATGACATCTTTAAAAGAAATGAGATGCCTGCTTTTTTGTGAAATGACACTGGAAAAAATTCTGAAATTTAAAAGGGGAATAAATGTATAGTTGACAAAATGTCGTAAAATAGGGTAACACTGTGGTTATGTCCCAATAAGGCAAGAACAGAGAAAAAAAGCTGCTGCTAATTGGGAAGTATGAAGACCCAAGGAGTCTTAAGTCCAGCTCATCCTCACGAGGGAACCTCAGAAACATTACGCTGGTGTTTCTTTCTGCCAATACCACACCTCTTCTTCAACTAATGTTTCAAGGCGTCATTCGCAGTTTCAGAATTTATTACAGATGGTGACTATTCACATCACATTCAAGCTTTGCAGTTAAATGAAAACCTAATTCAAGCAATACATTTTGCTGATCAGGGTTGAAGGAATCTAAAAACCATAATAATTCAAAATTGTCTCTGGCATGCTGGATTGACTACTGGATGTGAAGACTTTCAGAATGACGTCTCACTCAGAGAATTATTTAAGCTCATAAATGGCAATCTTGTTGAGCTTTTGTCAGAATATGTTGGAAATCCCATCTAACAAGGACATTGTGACTGTGGTGAAAGGATCTTCCAGGGCTGAAGACAATAAGGAGGATGAAAAAGACAACACCAATGAAGAAGGTGATGCAACAATGCAAAAAGCACTGAAGGGATTGAAGACTGCATTACAATACCTAGAACAATGCAGAGTCAAACACTGGGAGAGCACGAACTCAGGAGAAAGAACTAGAGATATCACCGATGAAAAATGCAGCAATTCAATTGAAAATAACTGATTTTTAAAATCAATTAAAGATATTGAAATTTTTCATTTTGTGCTGTTTCTCTATCTCAATAAAATAAAAAATTGTGGATAAATTCTATTTAATTTTGACATCGGAAATAGTGAACTTCTGATATAATAAATCAAAAATGTTTGTCCCCAGAAGTTCACTATAATCAGTGTCTACTGTATCAATCAGATAATAAAAAAAAACAACTATTAATTACCAAGCAATTTCCCTAAATTCAAATTTTTCAAAAATTTCTGACAAAGTATTAGAAGTTAAATTTGATAACTATATATCAAGACAACATTATCAACTTGTTTCAATTTGGTTCTCCAAAGGGTAGAAGCTCTGAAGATGCCATTAAGTATGTATCAAATGAGATCTGCAGTGCAGTAGATAGAGGTGTACCCTGCATTTCTGTTTATCTTGACTTGCCCGAAACATTTGATACAGTAAATTATACATTACTAAAGCTCTTCAAATATGGAGTTACCTTAATTTGATTAAAAGCTATTTAATCGGTTGTACAGAAGAAGTGAAATTAAATTTATTTAACATTATAATGTAACTAATAGAGAATGAGTAGTCACTTGTGGTGTTCCGAACTGAATGATATTGGTATCAGTCTTGTTTGTATTATATAAATTATATATTTCAAACCTTGCAGAAAGGAGATTTGATATCCTTTGCTGGTGTTATTTGTGTTACAATTAAAGCCAAGTCATGGACTGGTCTTACATAAAAATGAAATAAATCTAAAGCAGGTAGCTAAATGGCTCTATAAAAAATACCTCAGCTGTAATACAACAAAGACAGCAACATCCTAACCCAAACAGTCCAGTCCACACTTTGCAAACCTTTCTCATTTACAAATTTTGGAACACTTGGCACCATTTAATAGTTTTAACTTTTGATACCATTGTTCATTTTGACCAGTTCAGATCAGAATGAACCAAAAAATCCATCTTAAGAATGTCCGAGTGATCCTCATGCAACAAATCCAATACCTGCAACCTCAATTTTTCAGGTACTACAATCTGATTACCCAGGCACAAGTATACATCCAATGCTGAAAGTTTGTCTCTCATGTATATACAGTTTGTGATCTTTGTCTTTCATGGCCAGCCACTAAAACTTAACTTACAATATGTTCTTTTGAAGTTTCTCCAATAATATTCAAACTTGACAGTGGTTTTTGAAGGTGAATTTGCTTAACATCTTCAGTAATTTTATCTATTGGCAGTCATGATAATCTGGGCACTATAGATTTAAGCACTTACCTTAAAAATTAACTCATAATCATAATTACTCAAAATGACTGCCCAATGTTGCAGCTTGCATGCAGCAAACAAGGAATTCTTACTTTAGAACCCAAAATGCACTTCACCGGTTGATAGTCTGTTACAAAGAAAAATTTTCTACCATAAATATATTTATGGAACTGTTTTACTGCAAAGACTGGCAAGGAAGCACAAAGCTTCCCAGTCTACTTGACTATAATTTTGCTCAGCTTCGAATTAAGTAGCCGATGCTAATCCATTTGTTTTTTTCCTTCCAATCTATAATGTGGCATAAAACTGCTCCTACCCTGTCCAGGCTAGCATCCGAAATTACTTAACGTTTGTTCTGGTCGTAACAACTGAAAATATTATTTTCCTTTAATAATTGTTTACATGTAAAACATTTTAAATCTATAATCCCCAAATTAATTTTGTACCAGCTTGTAATAATTGACACAGAGGCTGCAGACGAAAGCTTAAGATTGGAATAAATTTTCCCAAACATGATTTTAATTTTTTTGGTTCTGGACAATTTAAAATGGCTGATATTTTGGCTGCTGTTTGAACATTATTTTTCATTTATAATATGACCAGGTAATCCATTTTTCTAAAGAGTTTAAGATTAACTTGTACATTGCATTCTTCTAATCTCTTTAGAACTAAAAACAAATATTTGCATTGTTCCGTATTTACTCCTGCAACAACTATATCATCCAAATACGAAATTGGACCTGCATCATTTTTAAAAGCATACATAGCTCTGTCTAAGAAAATAATTGGCAACAGGTTCAATTATGTTTTGGGTGGACCTCCAAACTAAATACAATTTATGTGTTGATAGGTTTTTTAATACTGTTTAATTGGTTTCTTTCAGCAAAGTTTTTTTTCCCTATTTCAATTTACCACATTGTCAAGATCAATTTGTTTTTCAGTGGTCACTATTACATAATTTGGCGGCCTGGAAACTAAATTTATATCACCAAGATTCACTTATGATTGAATTAATATATACAAATTGCTATTATTTTAAATTCAAGCTCAAGCTCTTATAGAGATTATTGTGATTTATTATTCCTGTACAATATGATTAATCAACATATTTATTCACCTGAGCTATAATCAAGATTCCTTGGTCTTCATCAATATAAAATTCAAGTCATTACACAAATGTACTTTTTGATGTCCCATTTGCTAGAACAAATACGTATTTTTATGCACCGCTTTGAAAGATGTGTCGTTACCTGAATTGTAGTAATTTAGATATTTTTGCCTCCATCTGCATATTAAAATATACTAGAACAAATTTGATTCTAAATGACTTCTCATGATTATATTATTCTCAATTACTCATAGACCAATTTTAAAATTTTTGTTAATTATTTTTGTAATTGGGCGAATGCCTGTGCCAATAGGAATAAATAAAAAACTTGTTTAAAAACCTGTAATCATTATAAATTGGTTTTAGATTCTGCTGTTTGTTTTGTGGATACACCTTCCTTTCTACTGTGACACAATGCAACTTCTGTTGCATTAAATTCTCTTATTCTGCACTTACGCAACTAAAGCTGTTGTATACCACCTGGCCTTCCTTCAGGGTTTTGAGATTCTTGTTTAGAACATGGCCCTATTATTGATTGACATAATCAAATGGCAGAACTCTACACTTGTTCAGATATAAAGGCAGTCACAGTTTCCCAAAAGTTTTTGCTATTTTCCGTACATCATCTTGAAGTTCTTCATGAAAGACCAAGCAATACCTTGGATAACTCCACTTGTTATTGATTTTGAGGGTGATAAGAAAATTCCCATTTGCATCTGGAATATTCTCCCTCTCAGGTCATCTTCAATTCTAGCCAGAAGCTTTTTCTAACCTTTCCAAGATTGTACAGAAGCCTTAAAGCTTAGAGGAACTCTATCAAAATCTTTAGCATGATCCGTTTAGATTACATCAATTTTTTGCCAAAAATTTGCTTTTTTGCCAATTTTGCCAAAAATTGACTTAAGAACTTTTAGCCTGGGACCAAAGATTTTTCTGGCTTTTGAAGTGCAAATTGGTAGAATGAAAAATTTCATCCTTCAATTATTTATTGCATATTTTAATTATTTAATGTCAGGTTTGTCTTATAAAGGTCATTTTCCGCAATCACAAACACTTTTTTAGATAAAAGGATGAATCAGACAGAAGACATTAGTGATAGCAATGTGAATTGATTATGGAAATAATTGCATACCTGTGCATTTGTGGGCAAATGCAGGCCTTGTTGCTGAGCTTTCTGCATGCTTAATGTGGTAACAAGAGGGGAACTGCTACTTCCACTTCCTGTCACACCCAAAGCTTTGCTGCCAACTACTTTGTTTAGAACCTCCTACAAAAATAACAATTTTTAGATCAATTTCACTCCCCCAAGTTTAGAAGTAAGGTCCTCTTGACATACCTGCAAAGTTGCAGGGAAGTTTTGCACTCGTCCTCCAGAGACAGTGACCCCACGTGGAAAAGACCCAGATGAGCCTTTCTGCACAACAATGACGTTTGGCTTTCCTTGAGTAGGTGTACGACTGGACCCTACGCCAGATGCTGCTTTAGACATTAATGTTGTTGAAACAGGGCGGCCGGGCAGACTACTCACAGATGAAGGCAAAGTAGTTGCATTAACTGTCACTACGCGAGACCCAGGACCTGCAGAAAGAAAAATTCAACATTAAACGTTGTTAATAATAATAATAATAATAATAATAATAATAATAATAATAATAATAATAGCTGATCATAAGGCCAAGATCATTAAGGCAGAAGTGCCGTAGCAGTCTCAAACCAAAAGATCGTGGGTTGAAGCAAGGGAGTATTTGTGTACGTCAGTATGTTTGTATTGTCCTTTCACTCCTCATTATCATCATAATTTTATCTTCCAAACCCCTAGGGCTAACAACCCTGAGGGATAAAAATTGGATCTAGCTTAATGCTGATCCTCTGATAAAGTTACATGCACTTGCCACCGAGATATGGAGCCCCAGAAAATGCAGGGTGCATGTACATGTGGTCCAAGTTGGGCTATTCGTAAGCAAAATATTTAAATAAATAAATAAAGGTTGTTCAGGCTGGTTCCAAATGTCATTTCAGGAATGTGATTCTTGAGTTTATTATTTATTAACTTATTTTCATTACGATCAATTTCATACAGGATGTCAGAGGACGAAACATCAATATTCTGGAATGTCCTAGTATTTGTTATTCTAAGCAAAAATGGTTTTATGAGCATATGTCCTGTTACCTATTCAGACATCTAATCAGAAACCTTTGTGTACTTTTTGTTTTGATTTTGAATAATTATATTACAAATGGAACGTCTGTTGAACTGTGGAAAATATTGGAGGAACAACATACCAAACTGACTCGTATGATAGAAGCAAACAAACATGATATTGCTTTTGTGGATAAAAACCATGTCTACTTAAAGATTTTTGTGCCATATAATCATAATATCATAACCACAGAGGCAAAGAAACATTTAAATTACACAAGTTTGGAAATTGAGATCAACTGAATGTGCAGCGTAAAAACAGGTCATTGTGATAATTATCAGAACTTTGGGATTTGTTCCTTAAAGAACTTGTTCAAACCCCAGGACATTTAAGATATTTTGTTATTAAGAGCAGCCTGTGTTCTTCACAAACTACTGTAGAAACACCAGTAGTCATAATATTTGCTCCTAAGAAAGCTGGCTGCCAATTGGAGAAGACCAATACCCAGCTTTGTTAGTCGCAAATTTAGGCGATAAAAC